CATCAGCTTGGGTAGGGAGGTCTTCGGCCGGGGCAATGGGGGTATCAGGATCAACCATCACACAAGTCTACCAAGGATGAAGTCTCTACTTTCCTCTACTACGGCCTCGATACTTTCTTGCTTCACTTGGCTGTACTTACAATTCCTTGGGTATCGGCGCAAGATTAGTTGACCACAAAGGCACGATTTTCAACTTCCGGACTGACTAGACTGTTATCGATGCATTAACGCTCATCAATTAGTTACTTTCCCATCCATGTCACCCGAGGAGCCCCAGAGGAGTCCTCATCGTCATCATACCGCAGCTCGTCGACGACGGTTCACTGAGCCAACAGCGCACGCTTCTACTCACCAAGGGCGACCTGGCAACATTGACCTCACGATATCTCTCCTGACTAGACTTGTGCAAGGGCATGATCCTGATCGGGTAGCGCATCTTTCATCACTATAGAAGCATTAGGGGATTCACTCAGATACTCACTGAAGTGCTGGCCTATCAAGGGGACATGCTTCCATGGGGAGCCAGAGCCATGTGAGTTGTGACAATTACTTTCCAGCTAGATGCGGTATTCTCAGGTCGGTGGGATCGAGCTCAGCCGATTCAGAATTTGTTAAGGACATATTTACTAGACTCACCAGAAAGTACGTCACCCTCGCATCAGTCCTGCATCACTAGAATAGAGTTTTCCTTGTCGAGGCATAAGCGACCTCCGCCCCCCAACTTGAACAAGAGCACCTCGTGGATGACTGATTACGAGTTGGATCTCGAAGACAGCGTCGAAGAGTCGCTTACGCTGTCCGAGGAAGGCAAGTCTATTACTCAATCGCTCCACTCGAACACGTGATCGATTCAACATTATCCCCGTAGCTTGTCGTTTCGGGTGACATACGCGAGGGAATCCAACGCTCCGCCTTATCGTTGAGTGTGGCGGCTTCTCCTTATGGTCGATATTGCTGAGCTGTAGTTCGCTTCTTCAGATTACGACGAAGATTCCAATGTCTCGGAAGAAGACGTTTTGGCATCGGCCACTGAAATGCAACGTAAATAGTTCTCTGCCAAGTCTCATCCATTGTCTCTCAAACTGTGAGGCGGGTAAGGTATCTCTGCAGGTAAGCAGTCGGAGAGCCTTCTAGCAGTTATAGAATGCTTTGGCCGTATAAAAAAACAGGTGAAATCTATTCACATGCTTTCACAATGAGTGTATCTGCTCAGACTGAGGTGGTGTCCAAGGCTGCGAAGGCCTGTTTGGAAGCGATCAGTGGTGAATCACCTGATAGACGAAGAGATCGTCGCAGGTGGTGCAGAGATGTTACATCGTGGGTAACTGAGTCGTGATGATCTATTCTTAGGCGAGGGCTTGCCGCCAATCAAGCAGCATGTACTGAAGCTAAACGAGTTAGGATAGGGGCTTCACTGATGCAGAGAGCCAAAGAAAGAGAAATGGCTCAATTGAAGGAGCGTCTGGGTCGACTCATGGAGACCTATGAGACTAAGTTCGGACAATATGTCGCTATCATGACTGAGCTCACCGTCCACTCCCAGAGGTAGCGTGACTCCTCCGAGACTCCATACCAGAGTGCGTGCAGGGATTGTTACGCCGACAAGCGACTAGAGATCTATGAAGAGATGGCACTTGAAGATGAGCCACTTTTGATGGATGCACTTGCTGATGCTATCAGCTTTACCAATCTGGCGAGGAACGCTTATCTGCTCTCCGCCTTTAAGAAAATTGCCGCACTATACGGCAAGATGCGACCCCATGCTGAGACCATCCGATCGATCAGGGAAGGAAAAGTGAGCCGCCGGGGACTGCTCACGTTTTGATTGAACCGCTTCGTTCACTAGCTCTGGCAGTAGAATCGCTTTAAAACGTTGAGGTGTAGTTGAAATGCTCGAGAGTAGCCGTCACCCATGCTGGACGGCTACTTGGGTCATCCAAGGGAAGCTGAATGGTGTTCTCAGGTGCTCACTGCACTCCGAACGCAGACGGGGATTGATGAGAATGCGATTGCCAATGACGAGACTTTGGAAGGAGAAGACACTGAAGTCGGTTCGGCGGCTACTAGCATGTTGACCTCAGCAGTGGGAGGGAGCCAGATCGGTGTAGATGAGCAGGAGGACCCATCCACACCCGTTGGAGACGATCCTATTGTCACTCCTTCTAACAGAAGTGACAGCGACGAGCCATATACGCCTCGTGAAAATCTTCACATAACCACATCTAGTGGAGGTGATAGCGAGGAACCAAATACGTCTATTGGAGATCATAACAGTACCACACCTTCGATTAAAAATGGTGTCGGCGAAGAACCTGTGTCTAGTCAAGACCGTCCCATCACCACTTCATCAAGTCTGAGTGGTGTCGACGAACCATCTACGTCACCTCGAGAGCATTCTATCACTACACAGTTGAGCGGAAGCGATATCGAAGAGCCATCAAGTTCCCATGGAGACCGTATCGTCATCACGCAATCGAGTCGAGGTGGTATCGAGGATCCGTTAACTTCCGGTGAAGATGGTCTCATTACCACCACCCCATCCAATCAAAGCGGGGTCGACGAGCCGTCTTTCGCGCTCGGTCAAGACTATCCACATGGCGTCGACCCCGGCATTACGTCACAGTTGAGGCAAAGTGGCGGCGACGGCCTGTCTGTCTCCTCCCGATACTCTTCTAGCTCTTCAACACCAAGTGAGAGTAGTAGCGATGAGTCATGCGGCTTTCTTCAAGACCATATCCTTATCACATCATTGGGTCCGACTATGGTTGGCGAGGTAGTGCGGCAATATTACTACTATGAATCGCCGCTCCTCGTGATTCTGTCCGTCAGGCTGACTGGCCGTCAAGCGTTCCGGGAGGGAGCCATTCGATGTCGAGGCCTGTAGAGAAGGTGCGTCCTCTCTTTTACTTTTTGTCGACCATTGACAACATTAGGTCTCATCGGATGACGAGCAGAAAAAGTTAGAAGCCCATAAGAAGTCATTGAATAAGACGGTTAAGCGTATGCGGAGTATGTTGAACCTCGTAGTGGAGAGCATAGCCAGTGCTGAGGTAGGCTGGAGTGCGCATATTTGAGCCATCCCATCGACGACGACTCAGATCGAAGACGTTATCCTTGCGGAGCAGGAAACCAATTTAGACGCAGCTTCGGAGTGCAATGCATATATCACTTACGCGAGGTGTCTCCTACAACAGGAAGAGGAAGAGGCTGAACGGGTAGGCTTCCAGTTAGTCTCGTCGCCCAGGACGACAGTTCTTTTCTTCTGATAGAGACTCTTGGACGCGGAACTCTCGGACGCGGAACTCTCGGATGCTGCCTCGGACACTAGCCGGCCGGGCATGATACGTTCGGACACGGGCCGTTCGGACAGGAGTTCACCGGACATGCTACGCTCGGACACGGGCCGTACGGATTCGAGCCGGCCGGACATGCTACGCTCGGACACGGGCCGTACGGATTCGAGCCGGCCGGACATGCTACGCTCGGACACGGGCCGTACGGATTCGAGCCGGCCGGACATGCTACGCTCGGACACGGGCCGTACGGATTCGAGCCGGCCGGACATGCTACGCTCGGACACGGGCCGTACGGATTCGAGCCGGCCGGACATGCTACGCTCGGACACGGGCCGTACGGATTCGAGCCGGCCGGACATGCTACGCTCGGACACGGGCCGTACGGATTCGAGCCGGCCGGACATGCTACGCTCGGACACGGGCCGTACGGATTCGAGCCGGCCGGACATGCTGCGCTCGGACACGGGCCGTACGGATTCGAGCCGGCCGGACATGCTGCGCTCGGACACGGGCCGTACGGATTCGAGCCGGCCGGACATGCTGCGCTCGGACACGGGCCGTACGGATTCGAGCCGGCCGGACATGCTGCGCTCGGACACGGGCCGTACGGATTCGAGCCGGCCGGACATGCTACGCTCAGACACGGGCCGTTCGGACAGGAGCTCACCGGAAATGCTACGATTGGACACGGGCCGTTCGGACAGGAGTTCACCGGACATGATGAGACCGGACACGGACCGCTTGGATGCGGGGACATTCAGCCCGACTTCGGGTTCTAACGGTGTCGATTCGGAAGGCGAGCAATCCAATCTAAGTGCCGAGACGCATTCTAAAGTGCCGCCCAACGTCTGGCTGGCTAACAAAGATGCTCTTCAAGACTGCGAATCTTCGCAGAACCAGTTGGAAGAGGTGGTAGTCAATGAGTCGCTAGAGTCCTCCCCCCAATGGGGTCCTGTCATCAGGCCACCCGCGAATTCGGCAGTCTCTCTGCAGCTGTGCACCGCAGGGGTGTCGCGTTGACTAAGAAAATACAGAGTTACCTCTGGGAGGACTCCGAGGTTCCACCGGATGTAGGCGACTTGAAGCTCTCGTTCTTTTAGAGGAATGCATCTCAGGATCCTCTGGCCCAAGCAGAAGAAGACTCGATCGAGGTGGCTAAGAATGCTCATCGCGAGACCATAGGCGTAGTGGGGTGGCTATCGGGTGCTCTGGAGAGGATACCGCATACACCGGAGCATTCATGGGAACTCACAACTACCGATGTAAAAGACTAGTTCAGTTCCGATACTGCTTCGCTCGAATAAGCGGTGACTGAGGTCTGTTGCAGGTTCGGGATGCGCTACATTTCCTGCCCACCAAAGTCGAGAAGTTGGTGAACTCGTATGTAGCCCATCAGGATTCCTTTAAAGAAGCATCTAGAGACGTGAGGCGACTCTGATCTGAAAAGCTTGCTCTGAGCTCGAATATTACAGGACGAGGAAGCTGCCGAAGTGGTCTTGGATCCTGAGGGACAAGAGGAGGCAGAGGAGGAGACGGTGTGGGAGATGGAGGGAAATGAATGGGAGGAGGCCGAAGGAGACGAGGAAGGGATCGGGGAGGAAACGCCGGAGGGGACGGATGTGAGGCTTGCTTTGGACAAGCTACCATCCCAGTAGGCCTTCAATACTCCGTAGGGAACATCGTGCAGTGTTCTGGCTTGTGAGTAGGTTTGAGGGGACTCGACCGCCAGCCTCACGAGCTGCCACAATTGAGCCCATGGCCAGTGAAGAGGCGGTTAGAGCCCGAGCTGAGGTATTTCGCTTTCCTCTTGGGACTGATCCTCTCTGAGCGTGGCAGTTTCAGGTGAGGAGCAGCTCGTATGAGAAATCGAAAACCTTGGGAGAAGAGTCTGACACTTTTCATCCGGCACAGGTGAGAGCCTGCCTCGACGGAGGTGTGCAGGAGAGTTTTCGTCATCATCAGGTGGTCTGGCTGGTCCTTCGCGGAGTATATGCACGCCTAGCAGGGCAAGTAGGAGAATCGCATGTAGGGGGCACAAGCGGACGGAAGAAGAAATCGAAGGTAAGCCGGCAGAGAACTAACTCAGAGCATCTCCGTATGCAGGGTGCCATATCTGGCAAGAAGAGCGCCCCGACCAATCGCTGCAGTGGGTCGTCTGCTACACCCACTGCCCCCAAGGGTGGACGAAAGACGTAGGAGGAGCTCATAGTTGGGCAAGTGCAGAATGCTGGTGTGGTATGCAGACGTATGAGCCCACGAGAGAAGTCGAGACGAGTTGGGAAGGCATCAGTCACCACGAGCCCCAGGCCTACAGGTGAGCATGTCGGTGGAATGTGGAGGAATGAATATCTCACAGGCTTCCCGTAACCTCCATTTAATGCTTGGATGAGGGAGATAGATTCGTGTATCCGAAGAGCACCTCAGGTACAGGACGCCGAGTAACCCAAAAAAGAGTGCGGCCCTCGAGAGCCGGGAAGCAGGCCTGCAAGATAGTCGCTGAGGAGTTCACCGAGGAGGATGACAACGACAGTGCGCAGGAGGATGAGACCGCTGAGGCACAGGAGGGTATAGAACGTATCCAGAGTAGAGAAGGAGACTCTGAGATAACTAGGACCGATATTGAGGATGATCATTCTCCTGAGGCTGGTAGGTGGATCTTTGCATGAGTATCGGTGGCAATCTGTCATCTGCGATGTCTTTCTATGGATTTAATAAGTAGGAGAGGCATACTATAGAGCCAACGACTCTGAAAAGTGTGTCTAGGTGTGCTCCGCTTCAAGCGCTCTCAGACAGTCAGTTTTACCTTTGCCTCACGAAGGTCTCAGATACACAGGATCGTTGGTCCAAGGAGAATGCCGAGCTTGGGTCTACATGGGTCGATGAGGAGGAGGGGGATAGTAGAGTCGCAGGGAACTCTCGAGCTCGAAGGACAACGGGTCGAAAGCCTGCGAGAAGATCACCAGCGAATGGTCCGGAGTCTTGGTTCTCCACAATGTCAGCACAAACACCCTTCTCAGTTGCCAATGCGGGGGTTCTCTCACGAAGCTCATCTCCTCCCGGAGAAGGCGTTTCTGGCGACGACTACAGACCTCCTAGTTCACCGAGTTTGCGGTTTGGTTCACATGGTGTGTCTGACCTGAATGTTCGAGGGCGCGGTATGGCGCCACCATCGCCGGAGGTGGGTTTTTAGGAGAAAGTGGTGGGCGATAATATCTGCGGCTCGCAGGCCCCTCAGAGGCGCCGCAGATCGTCTGTCAATACCATCCTGGTGGCAGCCGCCGACCGTTTGGGAGAGGAAATCAACGAATTGGGTGACTTCGTCGTCAAACTGCAGAAAGCGTCCGAGGTGGAACTGCGGGAGAAGTAGGTGTCAGTAGAACGTGAACACGCAGAAACATCTCCCTATGGCTCGCCTTATCGT